TCATGTCTTGCATATATATCATTCGAGCTAATAACATGCTGATGCAGTAATTACCGAAGTGAATGCAATCAATCAATTAAAGAGTTCTGAGGGTCTTCGCGATAGCTCAGATAGTAGAACTCCGACAGGTGTTCATTAGATTGTGAGTTCGAAATACAATCGCTAGCGATACTCTTGCTAAACACTCAAATGATTCCGATCAACTGATTTGGTCTAATTCTATGAACTAATTCAAAGGAGAACGCATTGACGAGATTCAGAATTTGAACTGAAATGATATAGAATTGAATAGTATTGTGTTGCTGATCGAATACACATCTCGGATCATCAATCTTTTATTTCATTATTACACGTATATTAACATTTATTCATGACATGACAATAACAAAATAAATTTGTTCAAATATCACATTGGATAATATCAAAAGGGTTACAATCTCAGCCAGAAGCACCGTTAAATAATACAAACAAATCCATAGTCGATACGATACGGCTTATTTGTGCAATCAAATACAACGGGAATGAATGATGTGTTGAATTGAATTCTGAGTGAACTCACAAAAGAATAAATAATAGAATGATTAAGAATAGAATTCCTGAGAGGATGAAAATTGCTTTCCATTGCCTTTTGTCTGAAATGGTACGAAAATTTATTACTGCGCAAATTATAAAAGATTGGTAATAATAATGACAGTTTCAAATGAAATGAGATGGTACGCCTAACCGTCGTCCATGTTCGTGATTTTAGCTATTTTCTTCATAACTCCATCGAGTTTAGTACCTGCACGATCCATGTCAACACCCAGTTCATCCAACATTCTGTAATAGGAATATTCATGTTAATGACAAATATACACTGATACATCAAAGTTTCTTGATAAATGCTGAGCATCGAAGGTGGCAATTAGAGAACTGATTGGGTAGAAAAGTTAAAGAATGCCAACTGAAGAGAATTATAGGAAGAGCGGTGATAAAATGCAGGGATCGGATGGGAACGTCGACGATCAAAATCGATTTCAGAAGGGGATATTCGTGATCTTATTGAAGATGCTTCGATTCATAACCAATACTCATGACTGAGCAATAAATAATTAAAACTAACACAGCTTGTTCTTCCAATTCATCGCCAATTCTGTGACTCATATGCTTCAGCATATGCACTGAATCACCAACCTTTTCCAAATCTTCATCTTGATCTTTTATTATTAACTACAATCACAATTATTATATACTAATGCATAAACAAATCACCGATAATCTTAATAATAACAATGATATGAACAATAATAAAGTGAACCTGTTGTTTTTGTAAGGTGTCTGCAACGAACCGATCTGATGAGGTCGGTGAATCGGACAGTCTGGTATACCGATATCCTGAATTCGTTGCTGACGAAGATGCCATCTGAATAATAATAATAATAATATTAATGACAATATGAGTATGATAACAAATAATTTGCGTAAAACAATAAGAATAATAATGATAAACATTGGCAATCGGATTCGTGAAGCGCGTGTCACCACTCGAATGCAGTTGTTTTCTGATCAGATCAATGAACTGTCTCGACTGATGAATGAACTCGCGTCTATGCTCAATAACAGACGCAGTAATGCCGTAACTCGACGGATCTCTCTCGATCAAACACAACGTATGCTCTAAATCATCTAAATCCCAGTCCGCCGATCTCACTGTATTACGTATCTCTGTCAATAACCACTCACGTTCTTTGCTGAAATATTTTCTTTTCTTATCAATTCGCCTTTCCTATCATCACAGACGATGATAAGAAGGGCGCTATGAACGAACCTCGTGCAGCGTCTATCATTTCCCACTCGTTCCACACGACTTACAAGAATCGAAACGTGATCCAACAAATGATCGATCTGTCTGTAAATTTTTCACCAATCCCAAAACAAAACCCAAACACTACAGAATATCAATCGAACATAAACACTTTGCAACAATAAGTTATGATAATTTTTGAATCGATGAACCATTAACAGAGCAGTAATCAACAAAATGCAATATCCTCACGGAATTATTGCTATACAATAAATACGACACACTATTACTGTTTAACTTCAGCCGATGGGTCATTCGACGGCATTGATAATCGATTGAGTAACATATGATTAACATTCAAAACGATCATATCAATAACGTCATCATCATTTGTAGTCTCAATCCACAAAAACGTGCTCACACCCCAATTTAGTAAATTGGTATTTACTGAAATATAATTTCATGCAATCATTCTCAAGAAAATTAACATTCCAAAGGCATTAGCCGTCAAAAAACCTCGGAATATCCTTAATATCCCGAATATCCGGGTATTCTATGACAATACTTCAACTACAGGCTACGGACACGTTGCCAAATTGTCAGTTATGATGAGCGAATCGCCATTGGAGTTGCTATGGAAACTCGGAATGGCCTTTCGATAACGTTCAATGTTTATTACTAATGTAAACGATTGTTCCATATATGTGTAAGCACCGACTGAATTTAGAATACGAATAACTTATGGTGATTTTAAGCTTGTCTTTAGAGAATTTCAATCCTTTTTGATTGATTCACTCGTACACTCGTTGTTCAAAAAAATGACCGAATATCGCTACTTCATAAAAATGATGTATATCTTCTTTGATGTATGTTCTGTGTTCCTTGATGTACATCTTCTCAATACCTCATTTGTATACATCTGATGATGATTGATAAGGACTGGAGTAACGGCAAAAGTGGAACGAACACGAACGACATCAAGAAAGGAGAATATCAAAACTTACATATTTCAGTTGCGATATTGTTGATTGCATGCGATAATTGTGAACAATTTAATTATGAATAATTCCAGATTGATTTAAACAAGTAATGTGAATTATATTTGCAGAGGAAAAGATTCAAAATCGACAGCAATGACGACCGCAGAAGCGCTTAAAACAATTGTGGATGGACTGAATTCGGAACCGTTCAATAAGAAGTTGAATTTGATAAGTTTCGATTCGATGTCGTCAAGTGGCTTACTTCAGCTATTCAGCGATATCATTCAGTGGATCAACACCGAGCCATCCATCGATATTCGTGAAGAGTCACCCGACGAGACTGCAATTCGAATATTCAATTCACTTCGTATCCTCAAGTACAAACCACCCACCGATATTGAGCAATTGTTCGTTGTTATCG